TTCCATTATTAGCATTCACATTTTTCGATAAGTAAAGTAATGTTACTCAGGGTCTCCTAGCTATTGTATAGTGAAACTGGTCATTAGAAACCATCTTGGTCTTATTCCAAAGCATATGCCTTTTACTTTATAAAGAGTGCATTTCATCTAGTACATATTTTTATTTATTTACTTAACTGGGCACTAAGAATATAAAACTGAACTGATATAATATCTCTCTTCGAGGAGCTCCTGTTTTATTTAAGGAGACCAGACACAGAGTACAACCAGTCATTTGGGGGATGAGTTAGGAAAGATAATATTCAGGAAATAAAATTGATATACTTCCTGATACATCAGAATGCCTTGAAAAGACTGATAGAGAATTAGGGAAGAGTTTTGAGTGGAATAGGTGGTAATTCTCATTCTAATTAGATTGAAAACACTAAGCTGAAGAGGAGGAAACTTCTCAAAAAAAGGGGGATAGAAGAAAAGCAATCATGATTTACTACATGGTTTGGCATGTGATAGTATTCATACATATTGATAATATGAACATAAAATGCATATATTATCAATTACAATAGGTGTCCGAGAGGAAGAAGAGAAAATGTGTCTATTTATGATACAGCAAGAAGAGGGAAAATAAAAATTCTCACCTTTTTAAAGATTATTTCTAAAACTGAAAAACGAATAAGGAGAACTACAAAGTATTTATTTAGAGACATGGAAGTTGAAACCATGAATTTGTTAAAAGGTGAAGCTAGTTGGATCTGAGCATGGGCAAATGTTGGTGAATAAGACAGAGAACTGCGTTTTCACCTACAAGTTTAAGAAAAATTCAACTCTTAAGCTAGTATAAAAATTACCTTTTTTGTTAGCTAAAATACAGGCCTTTTTTAAATTTTGAAATATCTAGAAAAAAACAAGGTTTCGAATTAGTGTAATTATTTTGTTATTTTAATCATTTAACCCCTCCTTTGTAGTTGAGGGAAGGGAAAGACAATATACAATAAGGAGAAAGCACAAAATGATTAAGGCAACAGGTGAATACTATAACATACACAATCTTGTAATGTGTAAGCTGAGCACAATGTGTAAGCTGAGCAAATGTGGGAAGGTGAATGTTGCTACAATCAATGATATATATCTTTGACAGAGGATATTTATAAATGTATATTTATATGTGCATCCATGAATGTGGACCTTATAAGGGGCAAAGTTATGAAAACTCTTAGTCATAACCATACACCTTGAGGGAACGATTCACTGGACCTGGCGGCTCAGTACCATAGTCTGTAGGGAGATCAAGGTCAATTGGCATAATACAGTCCCTAACATGGTACTATATCCTGTCATGAATAGTAACTGGGTCTTAAAAGCTGATTGAAAGCCATCAACGGTGCACCTATTGGTTTCCTCATTTGGAGCAAAGAATAGTGAAGAAAACCAGAGACATGACAGCAGTTAGTCCCGAGGACTGATGGGCCATGTAAAACGTCAGCCTCCAGATCCCCCAAAAAGCTGGTACCCAGCTATCACTGCTGACTGCTTTGAAAGGGGTTATAGTAGAAGGCCGTGGGTAGAATGGGAGGAAAATGTAGAACAAGCCTGAAAATCATAGCGAAAGACCAGGCTTACTAATTGGATTAAGGCCAGGTGGAACCCATGAGAGTATGACCCAAAGTCATTCTTCAAATCTGGAACTGAACTTCCCCTCATGGCTCAATTTTCAACCAAACTGTAGGTCGGTAAGGTGAACAGTAGCATCAGGGAGGTCCACACTCCATAGAACAACCAACTG